GTGTGTGTGTGTGAAGTGGATGTGGGTGGGTGTATGTGTGTGTGTGTGTGTGTGTGTGTGAGAGAGAGAGAGAGAGAGAGAGAGAGAGCTTTTTCGGCTCTCCTCCGAACTTCATCCCTATATTATGGCGGCCAAACAGATACCCTAATAGGGCTTTTTCTTCTTTCGATGAGATTACCCTGTTAAACGAACATTACGTAAGTTAAAATAGAATGTTTGAGGATGTTTCTACCTTTTTGGTATGATTAATGGTTGCAGCTGATTTGGTTCTTCTTTCAAATAGTTTTTTTTTTTACTAGCTGTCTCTGTCTAGAGATGCCATCTAGTGCTACTTTTGTTTCGTCTCCTGCATGGAAAGGGGAATAAGAGGTTTTAGGAAATTAGGGGATGGAAAAGAGGGTGGGGGGAGGGGGGAATTTTTTTGTTAGTGTGTCATGAGAGGGAGCTAATCTTGATAAGGCCTCTGTTAAAGTGTCTTGTCCTCTGGTTTGTTTCCCATCGCTTGTTGCTGTCTAGTAAGGTCTCTGGTCTAGCTTTCGACAACCTCTTGTGTCTTAGTCACTGTCTTGGTCTGTGGCTCTTCGTTCTCGTCGGCTGATTGATCGTCTGTTTTTAAAGTTTGCTGGATACTTTCCCATTTTTACTCCAGAATATTTTGTTTAGTTCTTTTTTTTTTTTTTTTTTTTCTTCGTGTTCTGTATCTTTTTTTTTTTTAAATCAAGATCTGCATTTCTGTTAGCTTTTTGTCTACATCGTCGGCGCAGGTAGCTTTTTCTGGCCCTTTCTTTGTTTCGTAGCTGTGCTGCAGTCTCATCTTCTGGGTTTTAGTGCCCCCCCCCCCCCCGCTCTCTTTACTATCTAAGCGTTGATAGACTTGTGTTGCTGCTTCCTGAACTCGGTTTCCGTACTCTTGTCTGCAGTGCTTGCCTTTTTGCCTGGGTTGTGCTTCGATTAGCTGCTTTTATCAGTTCCTTGACCAGTATTACCTGTCGTCTTCTTCTAATGGCTGTCATACGATGTACTGCCTCGCCTTTTCCTTCGAGCTTTGTTTATGGAATGTTATTGCAGACAGCCATCTGTATCGTCTATATCGTCTTCCTGCATTCTCGGATGTACGGGCAGCCGATGTATATTTTACCATAGTTTCCATAGCAGTTTGCATACTTTTTTGTGTGTGTGTGTGCTTTCCGTAGTCCTTGTCCCTTTTGGCAAGGGGACATTCACTGAACGGCTGTGGTCCTGAGCAATATCTGCATTTCTCCACGTTAATTTTGTCGCGGAGAGAACAACCAACCCTGCACTTTGGACTAGTCGTGACGTTGACATCCCTAGCGGGCAGGTCAATTTTCAAATGTAAACCCGTCTGGGGGGGGAGGGGGGGGAGAGAGATATAGTCCCTCGTATTGATATATACCTCTATCTGGTGGAAAAAAAAAACATTTCTAGACCCTCTAGTTGTTTTGAGAAGTCTACATTTTCAAACTTGCAACTGTGGGATAGATAATTTCGTCAATAATATTCAGAAATTCCTATAAGCCTTTTTTACTCATGGGGCACTAATACAGGACTTCTTTTCTAGAGACGCCAAGCGGAGTCTGGGGCGGGCATTCTTTGCCAGACCTCTGAGGTGTCGAGAGACATTTCAATGCTCTCATTAAACTTTGGCACATTCAAAATACCAGTTTAATCTTTGAAGGATTCCTAAGCTTGGGTAATTTTATTATAGTTTACGAGTACCATGATATATGTCTCTTTAAAGTTTGCTACTGCTGCAGTGAGGGAAGATTCAGCTGTGTGACCATACAGAACTAGGCCGTTCTTGATGTCCAGACACTCAAGCCCCTAAAATCAAACCTTTCCCTTCGCAGGCTAATAGTTTGTGCTCTACATGACCCACACCATTATACAGATATTAAACCCAGCAAGTTAATTATTCTCTAACTAAAATACGGAGTTTGTGTCGACTAGCAGACACATGTAACTGGGTCGCACGTCAGAAGCTAGGCGCTCTGAGTCAGAGGTTATTTTTAGCACAACAACATTGGATGTGCAGTTGGCAGATTGTGGAAACATAAAATATATACATGTACGAACGGGATAGAATGTATGTCTGCGGGTGCAGATAGGAAGGTGGAGAGAGGATGATCTATGTGTAGCAGTGTCTATCTATCTCCACTATATTCCTTGTCTTCTATCTGGTGTACCGACTTACAGACAAATAAATGAAGGGGACATTGTCTCCTGTTCTTGAGAGTTATCCTCTGAGTGAATGAGAAGGGTAGAGGGAGATAAATTAAGGTTGGTGTGTGAATCTTAAGATAAATACTAATTCTGAGTTCTTTCCTGACAGGATGATACCTCCTTAGAGGTCAGTCAAACGAGTCACAGTCCAGCCAACAATCACCAACCCATACCATCCCTATCACCAAACCAACCCAAAATCCTACCCATTGTTGCCACAACTTCAACATGGCAGGAACTTGTGTGTGAGCTCCAGTGGTTGAAAGACAGTATTGCAGGCCACCGGTGTCATCAATCAAAGGAAGCCTTCTTCAGGAGCTTTGTTGGGCTCCAGCGCAGTTCCTTTGTCCTCATATGTGATACGATAAGTGTTTACCAGATCAACCAGAGGAAAAGTGATCTATTGAGTCAGCCGGTTCAAATCACCATGGACTGAGGGGAGCAGTGACCTACCAAATCGGATAAGTAACATATGAGATGACATACCACATGCTCTATTTACATGGCTACCTATGATGCACTGTAATGATTCATGTACTCTCTGAACTTTGTCTGGCTGTTTCAACATCATCGCTGTGACGTTAAGTCCTGAAATCCACTCACTGGAAACCATCTTGATTGTCTTGATATTTATTATATATATATATATATATATATATATATATATATATATATATATATATATATATATATATATATATATATATATATATATATATATATTGCAATTATTACATCCATTCAGAAATTTTCATGGCTGACTTGGGTGTCCCTGTTTCACCATTCTGTCTAGCTTTTATGTTTATTAGTAAGTGTAAACTGTGTTAACATGGCAATGATAGTATACTATCATAGCCTGGAGGCTATCCTTTTTTAGTAGTTGGGGTGTCCAGCAAAGTGTGCCTAGGAATATTATATATTCTGTAGTGCCAACGCTTGAGTTGCCCTACTCCTGAAATAAGTTGAGCGTATATTGGCCACAGGATCTCCCTTAGACCAATACGAGCCGACGCCTCAACATTATTATTTTAGAGTGCTGTTGGTTCTTAAGGAGCAATCCTTAAATCAGGCACGCGACACGAGCGGTATGTGACAAATATGTCAACTGCTCCTCTCCCCCCCCCCCCCCCTACTTGTCGTTTAATCTGGTCTTTGCTGTTGTCTGTTTTTGTCGTTTCATCGCCTGTGGTCTGAACAGATGAAACTTGTTGGCCTCAACTATTATATCATGTGGTAACTGGAGCTGTAGTGTTGTTGTTTTTTCCGCTAGTTTTGTGTGTGTGTGTCTCGAATGTCGTTTATGGTTGTTATCCTGTTCTTTTTTTAGGATAGCTGCTAGGCCTTTCTTCATCTTGCGGACTCATCGATTTCAAAGTAGGCGTTTTACAGACTGATTATAATGGCTGGCAGGGCTGTCAGTTTAGCATGCCCTTTACGGGTCTGTTTTAGCTTTATCGTAGTTGAGAATGTGTTGTTCTCTCCAGGCTGCTCGTGTCTGATTGGTTCTTGTTCTACCTTTCTGTTTCCCCTATGGTCAGTTACTTCTGGTGATGGAGCCCGCCGTGTCAGATCCCGTGTTGCCTGGTGGGTTGATCTTTTTTTTTTTTTTTCGTGGTCCTAGTCAGACAAAATATATTCATGAAAAAAAAAAAGCATGATGATAAACAAAGAAATTACACGGATAACCTGCGACAAGTCTGGCTAACCAGCGTGCGATTTAAATTTTCACCACCAAATGCTCAAGAAGCCGTGAACACTATCAGAAAATCAACCAGCCGAAAAAATCTTTGGAGAATGACTCCAATAGCATACCGGCCAGCCAAGCATGACCTAGCTCGGATACCGATCATCCATTAACCTGCCATACCCAGAGACATAAAGCAAAAATAGACAAATGATATTTGATTTTGACACAAGAAGATATTTGAACTGGGAATTTTAACATAGTCTTCGAACACACAATTTCACAAGTGACAGTATATATATGTACATACTTTTACTTTTCTTTCTTATGAGACATGGTTTTCTAATTATCAATGACTGAATTTTCCTGCTTTTGTTTTTATTAGTTTTGTAATTATTTAGATATAAGTTTACTTTAGGCATCATACACATACCATATATGTCCACAAACACGCATAGAAGGTCATCAATAAACTAATTGTCGAAAAAATCATGCTGAAAATAAATTAGCACAGCAAGTTTATAGATGCCTGAGAAAAGCAGCCAACCTAACCATCCGAGATCGAGTGAATAATGAAATTATCAAACGAATTGTGGGATTGACACCTTGTACTAGATTCATCGAGAAACAGCAGATCAAGTGGTTTAGCCATCCCGTTAGAATGCAGCAAGATCAAATACCATCACAAGCACTACAGCTCAGAATATCAGCTTCAAGAACAAGAGGACGGCCGCGGAAAAATGTATCGACAACATTAAAGACACTCTACGCAATCACAGCATGACAATAGCCAGTGGCAGCCAACATGCACTGGATCGCAAATTATTCCTCCCCACAGAGCTTAACGGCCAAGGCGGTTTATGATGATGATTATGATAATGATGATGATATTATTACTGTATAATATAAAAACTAAATATTGTCAGATCGCTCATAATATTTATCTAATATTGTAGTATATAACAATTAAAAATTGACAGATCTCTTATTATTATTTCTAAAATATTGTATTAGATAACAATTAAATATGTTTATATCCCTCATTACTTAATTCTTATAATATTTTATGCATTTATTACACATTGTCGTCTTCCTCCCAACTTCCCTCTGATATTGTTTCCAATGAATTCGCTGGTGAACGTGCACGTGTGTCCAGACTACCCTGGTCGAGTATGGTCACAAACGTAGAACCTGTGCTGATGTGGATTTTGCTGGCCCAGTGGATTCTGACTGGCTTCTCAGTGGAATGTGAAAGTGGATGAATACACAGTGGAGGTTTGCCTAGAAAAATACAATGTAACAATATTTCTGTTAAAGAAGGAGATGCAGAATAAGCATAAACATATATATATGAGGATTATACAATTGTTTCTCCAGTGCCTTTTATGACTTCAGTAGAGCACAGCCTCCTACCAGTAATAATGTTCTGTCTTATTGTTTGTCATCGCATGCAGCGCACTTCTTGTCTTCATCCCAAAATTGGCGTTTCAACTTTCTCGTTGATGTGCGTTTATTTATTACATCTCCCTCTTTCGTCATGTAGGTTCCAGACGGTAGTGTTATGTCGCTACAGTGAGAAATAGGCATAAGTGACAATGGCGATGGCGAATACGACTAGCAAGACCCACTCTCACCTCTCCATAACACACAGTCTCGGCATCATTGTAGAGACCCTGGGTTGCCCACGAATTATGACCCCCCTCTCTCGTCCTGCTTAGTTTACTCCAAAGGAAAGGTAACACGAATATGTTTTGATACAAGCATCCTGCAGGAGCTGACAGATCAGAAAAGCATAGAGAAACATCTCCTTTAATTTTTGAATAAACAACAGAGGTAGGTAGGTATTTGTACCCCACCAGGACATCACACCTGTGATAAATACTCGGTGACAAAGAGTGCCACCATGCGGATGAGGATCACCCATGGAGAGGTCCCAGAAACCCTTTTTAGCTTTTAGGCCATATCTATGGCTAGGGCATATCTATGCCCCGGCTATATTCAGCTCCCCCAGGAGAAACCAGGGTGGGCCTTCAAAAACAAATTGCAGTCCACATAGGACGACTTTATAAACAACAGAATCCAATAAGGCCTTAAATATGTTGTTTTACATGGTGGAAATAACGTGTCCATGGGCTGTGTAGTCCTCAGAATAGGTAATTTCTGTTTTGTTTTTTGCAAAAGGTAAAGAGGGGAAACAAAATTTTACGGAAATTTAAATAAAAGGCTGCCATGTGTTGTCCATTTATGAGGAGAAAAGGGAAGGGGGAAAACAGAGCATAATATGACACGATTTCGAGAAAGAGTTCTTGGCGACCTTGTTTCACAGCCCTGCAAGTGGTAGCACGCGAACAGATACGTAGTGGGGATACTCCAAGATAGAGAGAAACATGAATACCCACACCAGATGGCAATGAACCTAATGTGAGTTTGGTGGTCTAGGTTTCATCTCAAGTCTCCTTCTCCCTGCTCTCCCTGCCAGTGACTTTCAGATGAACAGGCCGCATCCCTCTATAAAGGCATGAACTGTTCCAAACAGTAGCGTTTCTATAAGAATTCAAACTGACAATTCAAGCAGGCTTCTATTTCCAATTCTGAGATCGACACAGCTTCATAAAAATAAAGAATACTTGGTGATCATCGACCTATTCTGGAAAGTGACTTGGATAGGTAGCAAGCAGGCACTGTGGAGGTTAACTGGTCAAAAATCTCAATTTGACATGAACTGGTATATGCAAAGGCTTAACTTTTCACGTCATTATGGCAGTATATGACAGTGACTAGATTACTTTGAATAATTTGATAAAAGCACTTACCGTTGCTTCCGAGCTGATAGTCTCCATTAGGGCTGAAAAGAATTTTTTTTGGGGGGAAAGGTGGGGGGGGGGGTATTAATCAGAGTATTCCAAGACAAGATACATACAGGAGACATATGCCAGTAAAAAAACACACATGAACGCCGAGGTGAATGCAATAGTATGGACATATAAACACTGCTACTGATATAAACCAGCTGCACTTGTGAGTGGTGTGTGGGACGGGGACAATACACACATTAACAAAACACTGATGTAGCTGGAGCCTTTATCAACGAATGCAGCAGCAAGAAGACATACTCCCAGGCATTAGCCCCACCACTGAGGGATCACGTAAATAGTGTTTCGTCTTTATCGTCCCGTTACACTGCGTGTCGTTAAGTCACTAGTTTCTCTTCACTGTCCAATCAGCTTCCGCTAACTCTGACGGTGAGTTACTGTGGACTTCATGATTGCATGCTTAAGGCCTGGCCAGTCAGTCCAGTTCTGTATCCAGGTTTTTCTTGGTCTGTCTTTTCTCCTCTTCCACTTTACTGAGCCCTAGACTTGATGAGAGGGGCAGCCCTGATGGACTCCCACTGTTGTTCGGAACCGGCTCCCTATTTTTCCGTTAGTGACAGCACTACTGGCGTTGACATAAAGCGTTTTAAAACTATGTGTGAGGGTTGTACTAAATATGTTCTATAATACGTACTTGCGTTTGACCCCTATTGTATTTTTTTAAAGCAGTATCCCAAAGTGCTGCATGCCACACACAATCAAAAGCTGGGTAAGACGGATGGCGCAGTCCTTGATAATCCTAACAACGACCGAGCCGGTGTAGAATTATCCGGTCTGTTCGTCAATATGGTTGGCCAACTATTGTAAACAGTCAGTTCCCTCTAAGTCTGTATAAATATTATATTGAGATTTAAAATAGAAGAACAGAAAGAGGTTAGTTGTTCATCTAGAGAGATCGAGCCATTTGGGATCAAATCTGGCGGGAGGAAAAGATCCCTTGCTTGAATACACGTCATTGTTATTGTACATTGGAGTAGACTGTAGGAACATTTAAACAGGTTAAGTTCAACATGCAGACGATACAACATGAAAATAAATACTACTAAAATTGAACTAATGCAGATCAGCAGCATTCCTAGTCCGCTACATATCGGGTTGAATGGTACTTGTCTGAAGAAAAGAATTTAAATATCTTAAAAGTTTATACTCGGAGGAATAGAGAATACGCCGAGAAATAGAAACAAGATGCCAACGAGCCATTACACTTATATACTAACTGACACCGTGATTTAGACAACTGAACATAGACTTCGACATATTCAAAGTGTAACCTATACAAAATTAAAACCAGCGAAATTAGATGCCTGAAAAACGCCGCCAACTTAACCATCTGAGACAAAATTAGAAATGATATTATAAAACAGACTGTAGGAACAACACAATGCAGTAAATTCATTGACAACCAGAAGAACAAATGGTTTGGTCACTTAGTAAGAATGCAAATGGAACAACTACCAATGCAGGCGCTACACACGAAAATATCTGAAGTGAAAGCAAGAGGCCAGACCTAGAAAAAGATGCATTGATGATATTGACGAGCTTTTACATTGACATGGAAAGACATTAGTCAATGCTGCCGGTCAAGCAAAGAGATCGCAAACCCTTTCTCCCCATAACCCTTAATAACAAAAGTGGAAATTGATGATGATTATGATGTTTTGTACTTTATCTGTAAATCTGCCCGACTCTCTAGCGTAGTTGGCTAAACCGGATTGCGCGGAGACCGGGTGACGAACTCTTTGTGGTCCCGGTTCAATCCCGGGGCTAGGCAGGAAAGCCACATTTCTCCCAGATTTACGGTATTTACAAATCAAGACCGAAAGGTTGCGATATCCATAATACCGAGCCTAAGAGTTAACAACTCATGGCTTCTGGATACTACAACAAACAAACATCTGTAAATCTGACCGGAATTAAATTCCACCTCATTGATCTGGGGTTGTTTTTTTTCAGTCTGATTAAAAACCTGGTTTGAACTGGTGCTTCAAAACTCGAACATTCCGTAACTAGTTAGTGCCTACCATTGTTTAAATTTTGCGCCCCAAACAAATGTCAGATTTTAAGATAACAATAAAGAAATGTGTGTAATCTACTGATGATAAACCACAGGGGACAAGAGAGATAATTCAAACAAACTATAATACCCAACTGCAGGGAAGGACCAGAAGATAAACAGATGTTTTCAGAATGTCAATAGAGGTACTATGCACTGATTCACCAGGTCAGTTCTACCGAAGCATCAAGGCTATGAGACTGAGAGAAGAGAAATTTAACCCATCAAAGATCATAAACAGCAAGGCTAAAAAACCATTCATCAAATCCCAAGATGTTAAAAGAAGATGCAAGAATATTTTTCTGAATTACTGAATAATGGACCACTAGAACCAGTGTCTAATAAAATAAAATTTGGACAAGAACAAGAACCTAATATATTAGAATCTGAAGTTGAAAAGATCCTAGAGCAAAGCAAAAGAAAGAAAGCGGCCGGAACAGATGGTATTACAACAGACATAATACTTGCATGTAAGGCAACAGCAGTAAAATGGCTGACAAGAATATTCAATATGGCCTGGGAGGAAATAAAAGTTCCCGTTGACTGGCAGAGAGCAATTATAGTTCCCATATGGAAGAAGAAAGGTGATAAACGAGATTGTGAAACATACAGAGGTATCTCTTTACAAAGCCATGTAGGAAAGATGTTTGCAAAAATATCAGAACAAAGAGCGAGAGTGATATTAGAACCTCAATTAAGTAACTCAACCAGTTTGGATTTAGAAAAGGTAAGAGCTGCACTGATGCAATATTTACTCTTCGGCAAACTTGTGAACAGACAATCGAATATAATAAACACCAGAATCTTATATTCATTGATCCAGAGAAGGCTTTTGACAGGGTTAACATAAATAAACTATGGAACATTCTTAAAGAATATGGTGTACCGGGTCAATTATTGGGAAACGTAATGGCTCTCTATCAAAATAGCCAGAGCGCTGTAAGAACAACGGAAGGTATGACAGACTGGTTCCCCATTACATCAGGAGTACGACAAGGATGTGTCCTATCACCCCTACTCTTCATCACATATATGGATAAAATTGCACAGGAGTCAAACCCAAACACAGAAATTATAAATGAACTACTCTTTGCAGATGACCAATGTTTGTTACAAGAAGAAGAACAAAAACTACAACAACATGTTGATTCATTGCTCACTAACTGTACAAAATTTGACATGAAAATAAACACCTCAAAAACTGAAGTAATGACCATAGGAAAGAAACACAGTAATGTAAACATAAAGATCAATGACATTCAATTAGAACAAGTTTAAGAATTTTAGTACTTAGGATGCATATTTACAGAAGTTGGAAGACTCAATAAAGAGATAAAGGCTAGAGTTCAAAAAGCCAATGCAGTAACTACCAACTGGCCCCACTTCTTCGTCATCCAAAGATCTCGTTACCAGCCAAACAACGGATGATCAACAGCATTTTCATTCCTACGTTATGTTATCAGTGCCAAACGTGGACAATGAACAAACCACATATGCAAAAAATAACTACGTGTGAAATGCGATGTCTCCGAAGAGTCACCAACAATACACGAAGAGACAGAGTCACAAACGTCAGCATTTAGAGACGTCCTCATGTCACTTTTATCCAGCGACGTCCTCCTGTCTCTTTTATCCAGCGACGTCCTCATGTCACTTCTATCCAGCGACGTCCTCCTGTCACTTTTATCCAGCGACGTCCTCATGTCACTTCTATCCAGCGACGTCCTCATGTCACTTTTATCCAGCGTTGTATATTTAACAAAATACATTTTTTTATGTTTAATATCCCTTTTCTTCGCCTTTTGTCATCATAATATTACTGGCTTTTAGCGCAGTATAATAATGCTTACGATTAGTGTTCAATCACAAACATGCAACTACAATGAGAGTTTAAATAACAAATCAGTAACACAAAATGTGCATGTGCATTCGGCTTCCTCTTCATTATTCAGAGCCTTTAAAGCAGTTGTTCTCAACAATTCTTGTGCCTTTCCTCATGTTTTGACACCCAAACAGAAAATAATGTTTGTTGTTACTTCATAACTTCAGTGAATATGTGTTTTCCAATGTCTTAGACTACCCTGAGAAAGAGTCGTTTGACCTCCAAAGAGGTCTTGACCCACATGTTAAGAACATCTGCTGTAACGGTTTATGACCAGCCACAATTCATCCTTGTAACTACAATGTAACAGTCGTTATCATGTGGGATGCAGATTTTACACTTTTGAAGCCCCATCCTGTCTCTTGCCGGAGCCCGTGAATATAGCCGGGCCTGAAATATAGCCTAACGGCTGGACGGGGTTTCTGGGACCTCTTCACGGGTAATCCTCACCGAGTGTTTATCGCTTTGTGTGATGTCCTGGTGGGGTAAAACTTACATACATACATGCACACTTACATACATCCTTGTAACACATCATCAATTAGCAAATCTTTTGCAGGACGTCGCATGAAAGTATGTCTTTACCTAGCCAGCTCCCCAGCCCATTGTGTTTTCAATGCCAATGCATCTTCAATGTCCTCTGTCCACCTTTGCGGAGGTTGACCCCTGCCGCCTTCTTGTAACTAGCTTCTTCTTTTCAGCTGGTGACTTTAAAGTGTTGGCATGTCTGCAGGTACGTTAGCTCTCTATTGTCTTTCTGGTCGGTTTTGTGCTCTACCCCCTTTCAACTGTGTTATGAAAACCGTTTCTCTCTCTCTCTCTCTCTCTCTCTCTCTCTCTCTCTCTCTCTCTCTCTCTCTCTCTCTCTCTTTGTTGCCCGTCTCTCTAAAAGGTTCCAACCACTGCACCTTCTGCCCTCAAGATACCAGCAATTAGTAGTGACTTAAACAGATTATGAATTTGTAATTGCTTTTCTCTCTTCTCTCTCTCTCTCTCTCTCTCTCTCTCTCTCTCTCTCTCTCTCTCTCTCTTCTCTCTCTCTCTCTCTCTCTCTCTCTCTCTCTGTGTGTGTCGTGTGTGTGTATGTGTCTCTATTTCTCAATACTCTGCTATGTGAATCTTTGATGGGTTCGAAGAATCTCACGCGCACATACAAACAAGGATACATGCACATACAAACAAGGATACATGCACATACAAACAAGGATACATGCACATACAAACAAGGATACATGCACATACAAACAAGGATACATGCACATACAAACACGGATACATGCACATACAAACAAGGATACATGCACATACAAACAAGGATACATGCACATACAAACAAGGATACATGCACATACAAACAAGGATACATGCACATACAAACAAGGATACATGCACATACTTGTAGCAGTTGATTCCATTGCAGTTGTGACGGTGTCGCCGCGGTCTTTGTGTGTCTCGCTCTCTTTTTCTTGGTGGAATGATGAACATCAATTCAGCTTGCTGGTCACATGTGTAACATTTGCTCTTTGTCCTTCCCATAATTCCAAATCCCCTGAAAAGAGGTCAGACATCCAGATACACACAGATCAATTGTTTAGCTTCACGAAATTATGAACTATTGTCAAATATCAGCAGATTCTTTGCAGAAAGTTACTTTCGTCACTGCAAGGCTGGAAGTCTTTCGGTTCCTAGCAAAGTCTCCAGCCCTATGTGCTTTAATAGCAACTGCATTTTAATGCCCTGTATCCAGGTTCTTGCAGGTAGGCCTCTACGTCGTGCTCTAGAAGCTATCTCTACATTGCAATTTTTTTAGACCACCATGACGCTCACATGGCTAAAATACTTCAATTTGTGGGACAGGTGTTGTATGCAAAATCACTAGGAATTGTAAAGATTTAATGAGGCCAATGCTCTGTGAAGCGAGGGACAAAGCGGGTAAACATGTGTTTCTTAACATTACCGGGCGACTAAAAACTCCCCGAGATGTGTGAGGGATGTGGGATCAGTGTGGGTGGACACCACGAGTAGGTGGGGAACCCCGTGTGTTGCCGAGAATGTCGGATCTGTGTGGGTGGACACCACGAGTAGGTGGGGAACCCGTGTGTTGCCGAGAATGTGAGATCTGTGTGCGTGGACACCACGAGTAGGTGGGGAACCCCGTGTGTTGCCGAGAATGTGTGATCTGTGTGGGTGGACACCACGAGTAGGTGGGGAACCCCGTGTGTTGCCGAGAATGTGGGATCTGTGTGGGTGGACACCACGAGTAGGTGGGGAACCCGTGTGTTGCCGAGAATGTGAGATCTGTGTGGGTGGACACCACGAGTAGGTGGGGAACCCCGTGTGTTGCCCAGAATGTGGGATCTGTGTGGGTGGACACCACGAGTAGGTGGGGAACCCGTGTGTTGCCGAGAATGTGAGATCTGTGTGGGTGGACACCACGAGAAGGTGGGGAACCCCGTGTGTTGCCGAGAATGTGAGATCTGTGTGGGTGGACACCACGAGTAGGTGGGGAACCCCGTGTGTTGCCGAGAATGTGAGATCTGTGTGGGTGGACACCACGAGTAGGTGGGGAACCCCGTGTGTTGCCGAGAATGTGGGATCTGTGTGGGTGGACACCACGAGTAGGTGGGGAACCCCGTGTGTTGCCGAGAATGTGAGATCTGTGTGGGTGGACACCACGAGTAGGTGGGGAACCCCGTGTGTTGCCGAGAATGTTAGATTCACGCGGAGAACTGAACACAAATGTGAAATGTCACATGGTAGAGTCACTCGGTTGCTTTCAGTTCGGCTCAGAGTGTTAACGTGCGAGTGGATGGTTCAAGTCCTATGCATGTGTGGATTTGGTATTACCGTTTTTTTTAAACAGTGTGCATTTATTCTGTGAAATTCTTGTGAACAGTCGTATGATTGTGGTGGATTATGAGTAGGACTAGGAGGTCTGTCAGTGAACTTGTGTCGTGCGACCCATACGTGTCGGGGTTGATACAGTACAGCTATGGGGCGTTGTTTAACGATGTCCTTGAGTGCACAGAGGGGGCTTTGTGCCACTTGGACGGTGGGCTGTACATTCCCCGGCGGCACGTGGCAACAGGATGCTGTTACTGAGCTAGTTCTCTTGAATGTTCACATCATGTGGGATATGGAAGTTTTTCTTCTTCTTTGTCCATACTACTTTGAGAGATTTTCTGTAAAATTTCAGTTCAAAGCACCGGTTTTTTCTTTATGGACTGACTTAAAGCCCATGAGTCACATAATATAATAATAGAAGAGATTTAAAAGACATTAATGCCCCTTTAGTAAAGAGGTAAGGGAGTTAGTCTACCGACCATTCTTACGGAATATCAAATCACTGAGTCCATAAGTTCGCAGATCGCCTCAGTTTATACCTTGGTGTATGGCGATTAACAACATTAGTTTTTCATTGAGCACATTCTTCCATGGTAATTTACTTTTTAATGTCTGGCTTTAAAATGTTTAGTTGCTACTCTTGCAGACTCTTCTATTTTTTCCTCGCGCTCACTACTGAGCATTGCTGTTTAGAGAAAGCTGAACAAGGGTAGGGAGGAAATAGGAAATGAGAATTAGAAAAAAAAAGTATTACAAAAATGAGATTTGTTTCCTTTAAACTTCTTTGGAGAATGAGAATTGGAAAAAAAAAGTATTAAAAAATGAGATTGTTTCCTTTAAACTTCTTTGTCCATCTATTCTTGCTATATTGATTGAACATTTTGTCATCGTTAGATTGTTTAGAGAAAGCTGTTTAAAAAAAACAATAACAGTGTAATACTTAAACGTATGTTGCTGTGAACACTGAAATTCGCCTATGCCCCACTGATGCTCCGGTGGAATGGGCTCATACTTGATGTGACACCGGTAACACTTTGATACCTGTCAGATACATGTATAAATAATGTGTCAACGATTGTTAATGGATTACTAATATAAAATTAGAATAGTTAAATATAAATTGGTAATTAAAAAAAAAAAAAACATGGCGTAAACTAGACAAGAGAAACTAGTCAACGGTCACTGGATAATGGAAACAAGACAGATGTGGTTTCTATGTTGGTATTCCGACAAGAAATACCACATGTGATGGCAAAATGAGCCTACAATCCCTAGCAATGTTTTTCCAAACAGGTCTTGCCAGTCCCACCCATTAAAGTTGTAATGAGTTGTAATTCATATACCTATTTACAACAGTGTTCTTCAAACCATAGGGCGGGGTTCAGTGGTGGACCCAAGGACAATTCTGCTTTATCATGTAACG